CCTAAACATTTTTTTTTCTCAATAAAACTTTTTTTGCACAGTTACAGTATACAAATTGAAAAATGAATACCATTAAAACAAAAAGAGTGGTTCAAGATTCTCCAAAACAAGATGACATGTTGGTTAGGTTATTAACTTGTGAATTTTTTAAGGATGAGTGGACTGTATCAAATTCGTTCAATTTTTTCAGCTATTGAATCTTTAGAACAACGTTTTCTCTCTGTTTTTTTCTGTTTTTCCCTATATTCTTTCAACAGCTTCTCTTTTTTTTTATAAATAACACCTTTTGCTCCTCCAAGACATGGTCTTGTATCTGAAAAAAAACCGTCTTCTACGGATAATGGTCTTTCTTTCCAATTTACATTTGAGGCAACCGATCTCTTTTCCGTGGATATTATGTTTAGTCCAGTTACAAGTCTACTAGGCGGACCAACTTGTGTATTTAGATCAGGCAGCGAGATCTCCATTGCAAATGGAGAAATTGGTACTGCATATATTGAGGGTGCAACAACATTCGCATTGTACCTCCCATCCCATTCTCATTTTATATTCGATCTCGGTTGGTTTTTCCAAAGCCATCCTCTAAAGGAAAACAAATCGACTCTAAACACAGAGTTAAATTGGTTTGGCATTGATCACACAAATACATAAATGTATTTGCAATAGACCGAATAATATTTACATACTGGGTAAGAGTTAGTGAAGGTAAGAATGGTTGAAAATAGGATATATGTACGAGTTGACAAAGGTATGAGTTGTCGTATACCCACTGTAACTGACTAGTTGCATATCGTTCGAACATTGCAGTTACCAGACACAACGTATAGTTGCGATGTTATTCGTATTTTCGTTAAGATAGGAGAGTTCATACTGAAATAAAGAATGGCAACTTTCATGAGTAAGCAAAACAACAATAGAGATATATTTTCCTCCGTAGTTAATTTGAAAAGCGTACAAAATCTGATTGAGGTCAAATTTCACCAATCATTTCGATTTTTGTTTTCTTGATACGTTGATATATTAAATATAAATTATCAATATGTGGATTTCAATAATAGTAAAAATTAAAAAATGTAAATGCGTGAAATGTAATCAAAAAGTTTTATTTTGTTGTGCATTCTTTTATACACAGAAGCATCGAAGTACATATCTTTTTAGCATAGTATCAAAAGGAAACAACAATACCATAGTCGTAGAAAATCGGTCATACACTTTTAACTTTCTTTTAAGTGGATGCACATATCTAAATAAAAAAAGTCTTTCGAGGTTGATTTGAATATATGATATAAATAGAGGCAACAGTAGTATACTGGTGTTCAAAAGTCATAAATCGATTGAGGGAAAACAAATCCGGGTTACAAACTAAAACCGAGGGAAATACATCACCTATAAGAGGAAAACAAAGGAACAACAGGAACACTATAAAACATAGGAACACAATCGGTTTCATACTTTTTGGCTTTCTTTCTTTTAAGTGGATATCTAAAATAAAACATATCTTCGAGATTGATTTGATTATAATATAAGATATAAGAACACGAATAAACATATAATAACTCTTTCAAGACAGGAAGTTTCAACTCCATCCTGTATTCCAGAAAAATATAGTGGTCGAATCTTGCATCATATTTATTATCCTCTTTACACTTTTGAATAACCTTGTGTGGGCCGCAACTAGGATACGACAGTTATTGTTGTTAAATTGGATTGATTTGAAGTAAGTTCCTTTGGGTAAGTTTCGGCAGTATATTTAGAGAATTCTTGATTATTAGACAATATCATTAAGATAATGGCAAGTGTTGTTGAATTTATCAATTACATGGAATTCAAACGGCTCTTTACGGAAATTGGTCATAATCTGTGATTAAAAACTGTACAGAAACAAGTCGATTATTAAAGGGGCTCAATTGGTGTATATAGGGATACCTACATTATGTTTTTAATATTTTTTCCGAAATGGCATCAATGTTGTCAAAGAGAACATTTTGACATCAATGTTGTCAAGGAGAACATTTACAGTTTAAACAACACATCACACTTCTATTAAGTATATCTTTTTTCCTTCTTCATTACAAAGAAATGCTCTATATAAGTTGGAGCAAATATATTAGCAATCAGATTTTTAAAACGAACTTTTTATTAAATAGATACACTTTTGTTCGATACGATTGTGTGTAAGTGTATGGTAAAGAATTGAACAGTTAAAACTGTCAAACGACTTAAAAGGACCACTAAAAGCACGTATTTTATGTAAAATGTCCTAAAGATTTTCAACTGCAAACAAAATTACTTCCGCTATATTCACAAAATTTAGTGGTTCATTCTTTAACAGAAGTTAGAGTCATATGAAACTTCAAATTTAAATGAAAAGTTGAAAATCTTTGTTATATACTTGAATGGCTAATTTTATTATAAAACAAGTGTTCGCGAACTGTCTTGTAAAAGGAAATCCGTTCTATTATCAAAATCTTCAAAAATATACTGCTATTGAATTACTGCCTTCCTGTACATTAATTCGCGGATATTTTCCCGTATGCAGTGACCTCAGCTACGATACCTTTTGCTAGAACATCGGCCACTGCATAGCACAAGTGCGGGAGGAAACCGTGATGGAAGAATGTAAACAAACGTGCACTGGAAGGAAAATAGTAATAATTGATTCTAAAAGAACAAATTTAATACAACAAATCATTATCAACTGTTTATCTTGGCTTATTTGTCATTTGCTCTACGTGCTCTGTGTTGATTGCTTATTAATGTAACGATCAGGTAAACCTATGCAACAAAATCGAAAATTAATCATCTAGCGACCAACAATCCCTGAATGAAATATTATTTGTCAACAATACGTTATAGATTCGTAATACATATAAATGATTGATTCTTAATGACAGTTCATTAACGTGACAAAACAGAAGAAATATTGAAACTATGAATTAAACCTGAAATGTTCACTTTCGTTCATATTTGTCTTTGATTTCAGCTTTATCATAAAATGTAAAACAAAAGGCACGATTGCAGTCTCAAACGGGTTTTTAAATTCTTAAATGCTAAATAAAACACATTGTTTTCAAAAGAGAAGATGATTTGCCCAAAAGTCAGCAGATTTCGGATATGTTGTCACAAAATGATGATAATGTGGAATTTTTGGACAAACGCGTTTACAAAAATACGTCTACTATCCAAAATGTGATGTTAACAAAAGATGGCAATGTTTATATTGGATCCCTTGACACAACAAGCATCATATTAATATTCATTGTTAAAGCTATCAATGCCAAAAACTGTTATAAATTATGAAAAGTGGGACCAAAACTTACGTTACAACAAAAAATAAGCAAAATTCAATGACCGTTACTTCTTCATTTATAATCTGATATGCCATAACAAAGTTATTTTGTATGTACTATTTGTAAATTTTTTGCAAGATAAATAACAAATTGAAATCGGAAGGCAAATTTTCACCTTTAGTCAAACTTCTTCTTTGTTTGGTATTATTGTCATTATGAATGTCATGCATATTATTCAATAATCCTTTGTTACCAACTTCTACAATTTCCATTATTGATTACAACTATTTCCAGTGATATCCGATGCAAACAACATTTTTTGATAAATTCCACCTTTATGCTTATTTAAAATTTTAGTTCAGTACTTTGAATAAGTAGAAGAAATATTGGCACTCTTTATTAAAGCTGACAACATTGGCTGTTAATTATACCAACATTTAGCGTACAAATATATTATACAATCCTTACTCAGTCACCTAATTTACTGATTTATGATACCGGAATATAATTATCATTATAAAGTACACATCAGTTTATGGCCAGTACTAGGTAAGCAGCAAAACGATTTTGTTCTATCAATCATCCAGATATATCAAAACAGCTACTTGAATGCGTGTTCAATCAGTAAGATACTTTTCTTACTCGCTTGAATTCAATCCAATTTTTGTTAAGCGCTTGTGTAAGACAATCTTTAGTTTTGTTGTGTATCATTTATGGACGCTTATCATTCGATCTTTTGTCTTGTATTTTCGCTGTCCATTGTCACTCAATTAACGCATAAGTAACAAAAGTTCAACGAAGCTTTTAATAAAATTACACCAGCTCATGAAAACAGATCGAGTCATTTATATGGAAGAAATCAAATCCACAAGTCAAAAAAACATACTACACCTTTGTCACCAGAGAAAGAAAAAATGAAAACACCACTGATTTAAAAAAAAAACTTACTCTGTCGAATAATACTAGAATTCAGAATGTTTTTATTTTATTTCCTTTTAACTTTGTTATATCTACTATTTTTTACAACTGTTAACGAAATCATTAAAACATTAAAAAATATCCACAAAAAGGGCTGACCGTGTGAAATTCCTTTCTGAATGATATATCATTTCCCCAACTAAATCAAATGAAGTTTGTAAATTTAGAATTTTCTTCTCTCAAACTACAATTTTACATACAAGAAACCCTGGAAATGTAAACGTTTTATTCACACATAATTAAGTCATTCATATCATACATATATACTCTTTTAAATAAAGTCAAATATTATTGTTCGCCAATCTTAGCTATAACCTAATTTCGATACTGGTAGATTCAAAATATATTTAACTACAACAACCATTGTAATACTGATGCAAAACACTGTACACTTAAAGCAGTATCAAACGATTCGTTTACACATATTCGATTTCAACGAAGATCAAGTTATTATATTGGGTAAAAGATGTTGATGATGTAAACGGCACTTCAATTTTTCTCTTGAATTGGTCAATATTCTTCCCTAGGAATCGAATGTTTTTATTTCTATTTAAGTTGTTGCATTTCCAAAGTCCAAACATTAATATGAATATATGTGAAAATTTGGTTTTAACAGAAAATCCAGTTATATATTACAATAGGTTTCTATTTAAGTAGAACACAACGTACCGCAAATCACTCAATCGTAAATGTGGAAAACTAATCATTTCAAACAAACTTCCTCTGCAAAATCGTTCAAGCTGAATTGCCGTTAAACTTGTTATAAAATCAACAGGTTGACCAATAACGGAAAAAAGTAATGACATTGTTTTTTTTAAGGTATTATTAATGCTGAAGGACCAACCGTCCTTACAAATAGGTCAACTGGGACAACACTCTGTCATTCTTATGATCCGACCCTATATCAGATTGATACTCGACAGATTTTAGCATTTAAAAGGAGGATAGTACGGTAAACTTTCTAGACGGAGGGACTAACAGTCCGATGTAAGTACAGCGTCCACAGCTATAATCGTCTTCGGCTTTGGGAATAGACGGGAATAAACTGATGTGCAATAATTTTTGTCCACTAGATAAATATCAATACTGGTACATGCAAACACAGAATGTTGTCTAAGGTCGCGTAATAATTTTTAAACCTTGCTTGAAAATAAAAAATCAAATCAGTCAACATTAGATAATATGCAAATTGTATTATGGATCCATGTAAAACTTTTCATAAAAACCACCCCTATCCCCCATATTCCCCATAGATATCCTTGTCATGAAGTAAGGTAATAAAAACAAACCGTTCGAATGCATGCTAATGTCTTGAGACAGGCACATATACATGTTATCCCGTTAACCATGTTTATGAGCACCAAATATCACCATAACTTTACCCGCTAAGATAATATAACAACAACAGAACGAACGAAAATATCAGTTGGTTTAGTCAATGGATATACGTAAGAGAACACATCTGTATTTAGAGAACATACATAAGGCGTGTGTTATTAATATCGGAATATTGATGTGTCATTATGTGTGTCTTTTGTCTTTCTATAAGATGGTTTTTTTCTTCGTGCAAATCTATTGAATAAGCCATTTCAATCTGATGTTTATAGTGATTTCTCATGATATGCATTAACACCACTTTTTGACGGTTGGGAGAAGGGGGATGAGCGATCACAAACATATAATGGACTAATAAATTAAAACTGTATTTACCTTGATTATGACACGGTTAGGAGTGTATCGTCTAATTAATGGTGTTGGACATATTAACTTCCAAAAATAAGACCAGTATTGACTTAAACAACAAAATCAGTATCTTAATTACAAAAAACAAGTGTATTAAATTGCTAGACCGGTATATATATATATATATTATTTTCATTGTTCGGTTCAGAAATGTCATAGCTGTGACCTGAAGTCATTTGTTTTACAATTTCTACATAAAACATGAGAAAATAGAACATAATTTATTTTTAAAGTAAAGACAGATAGTTAATTTTTCGGATATATCATAACGATTCCCTAAAGATTGTGTGTTGTAGAGTATCTGTTACCGTATATTGTAAAAACTGCAATAGTTCATCTTATCATTATAATAAACATATATAAGTTATCGAAATCATAATCAATCAAATGATGCTAGTGTTTAAATTTCTACAATTATTTTGCATGACAGATTCTACTAAGAAAATGATACAAATGGAGTGGTCACTAGTGGACAAGGAACTGCAAACCCTTCCGGTGCATCTGCATTTACCCTCGGTGTTGTTGGCGTTCGTGTTGCTCAATATTTTGTTTTCTTTGTAATCTTTTGTTATTGCTGTTTTTATTTTATTTGTTTTTGCAATGGTTTTTTGTCTGTCCTTTTTTCCGAATTTATTATTCATTTGTATTTCCTCCTTGGATTTGCATATGGCACCAAGTAAAATTTTATATTCTGTTTACCATTACTATTCTTAGTTTCAGTTAACTTTAATATTGTTGTAAAATAAAATGTTGACATTCTTTTTGCAGTTACAGATAAAACGCAAGTTTTGGAAAGAAATACATCATTGTTCCAAATTCTTATAAAACACGCAATGATTTTTTGGAAAAACTACAAAGTTGGTGTATTATCCGCACTTTGTGTGTTATGCTTTTGGATTACGGTACACCTTCATAATGTTTGGTTTGATATCGTTGATAAGAGTACTACAGCGGTTCCTACAGCTAAAATGTCCATCACTCAGTTAAAAAATAAGGATGACTACCTTGAGGAGATGGACATCCTCAACAAGCAAAAAGTTGATATGGATGACCCAAGATTGATCAATTTGATTAGAAATTACTGGATAGAAAACCCGTCAGACAAACCCTACAATCTTAACAAACCTCACGTGATAGACCCCTCCATTGGACAAGCTGCATTTGTTGATAATCGATTAAATTTTAAGGTACGTGTTATTGATTTTGTACGTGTAAAGCGTAGATTTTTGTGTTTGTGTTATTATTGATATCATCTTCAATTCTGCATAAGACACAATTTGTAACATAACATTTAGTTCCAGTTTATGTTTTGAAGTGTGTAATAAAGGTGACACCAGTTCAAAGATTTTCAAAACATTCAAAGGTATCTAGCGCACACTTATGGCAATAGCCCTAGTATTTCTACAGGATAGGGTATTCGTCTCCTGTTGTTTCCCCACACCCACTTTTCAAATTCACGCTCAATCAAATCGTATCCGTCACCCAAAACGTGATGGTGACCGTAAAACTTTGAAGTGTTAATTTCAATCGTTCTTCGTCTTAAAACACAGTTTTGTGTAGGGAGCACATTTCTGTTAATGTTGTCCGCATAGTGTGCATACTTTGATACAATCACTGAAATTCATCAAAGAAAAGGGTTTCATCACTTACAATTGTACAAAGAAGATGTAATGAAGGTAATGAAAGTCTTGCAACAACTAAATGTGCTTGAAAATAAACCAGGCCGCACATTTAATTGCAAAGCACTTGTTGTAGACATAAATCTTTATGACAATTGTTTTGAAGGATTATCATCAATGATTTACCGCCACAGGTCACATGTTCCATGATGACGTCTTCGTGATTCACACCTGTGATGCACCTTTGTACACTTACCACTGTTTTATAAGAATGTTAGTGTGAACTCTTGTTTTGCTTTCTTGCTTGACCTTTCAGCGGGTATGCTTATAATGTAATAATTGGTGTCAGTCCTTGGTTTAAAGCTTTTCGCTCTATTGATATGAACTTAATGAAGATAAAAATCAAATTTATGATAATAAATTTTATCATTTTATACTGTGTGTCGTATGTCCACTGTCCTTGATCTCAATTTCATTGTTAAGCGAGTGTTAATATAGGTAAACTAAATTTGGTATATAGAATGATTGTAAGGTGTTTATGTCTATTTGGCAGTCATCTGAACTTGACATCACTTTCAGGGTTTGGGCTCTTTCGTAGACCCATACTATAAGCAATAGGTCAATAATTTTGTGTGTATGAAATTATAGTTGTGTGATCATGCCCATCTACCATGTTTCATCTCATAACATGATCATTTATGATTTTAAAGTATATAGAATACTGGTAGAATTGCCTTTCATTACAATACTGTTAATGGAGCCATATTTCGATTGGAACATAATACCTTGAATAACTCACTCCAATTGTTGACTAGCGTTACCTGTTGTTTTATCATGTGGAATAATTTGAGATTAATAGCATGTGTACCCATGTTATCAATAGCTTGGAATCGTTGTTTCAGAAATCAAAACAGAACAGTCTAAGGAGAACATGTTTTTTCACACGATCAAGATTTATATTGTCGAATTTACAAATAAATTTATGAATCCTTTTTTGTCTAGCCGTGAAAGAGTCAAAAGGCGAGACTTTGGTATGGTGTTTATGGCAAGGTGGCGTCAACCATTTGTTTAAGGTGATTTGGTTAGATTAAGGAGAACCACTAATATTAAATCATTGATATTTGGTATGCAGTTGTATAAGAATTGGCACATCTCATTTCCATAGAGATTTTTTGTCTCCGCCCCCTCAGTCATGGTGTATTGACTTTGAGTGTTTTGCATAGTTTAAAGTATTGCTATTGTAATTTCAACATTTGTATTTCACTATCAAAATCATATAAAGATGAGACATACATCTGTGTCAACAGTTTATGACCTCGTTTCCATTGTTTTATTGGCCTTGCGTTACTCATGCTACTGTGTATTTCCACGGTGACAGTCAAGTCATAAGTGTCATGTTTTTGGGATAAGGTCAGTTTCTAAAAAGCCATGCTACATGTATTTATTAAGAAATCCTTGTAACAATAGAGGTAATTCACAATTTGTTGGTCATGGGTGCAATTCAGGCGAGAAAATTTTTGAATGTTGTGTGTGGTTTTATAAAATGAGAAATATTTGAGCATAGTTTACAAGTGTAAATCTTTGTATTCTGTAATTCTCTTAATGTCGGCTGCAATTTGTTTTGGGATAATTTTGTATTTGCTATTAATGCTGGTTAAAACTCTTCTACCTAGACATGTTTAGAATAACAACCAGACATTTGATTTGTTTTATTAACACGATTAAAATTCATCAAGTAGTTCAGCAGGAACTTCACTTTCATCGCCATAGTAGTAAAACTTAGTATCACTACTTGAACTACTGGTTTCTTCATTGTCTACGCTTATGCCATAAAACGTTGCTCGGTCATCACTTTGTTACATACCTTCTAAAATTCAAACTGACCACACGAACGATACACACACGGACGATACACGCATGGAGAATGGACGATGAATGGACGTTGAATGATGCCTTCACGATGAGCGTTGAGCGTTTCACGGAGGATTAACGCATAATGAGTGGCGAGCGTTACACGGACGATGAATGCACGATGAGTGATGGGCGTTACGAGGACGATGAACGATAGATAAATACACAGCGATTAATTAGCTTACAGAAACTAAAACGATAACCATTAATTAAACGTTTTGAATTATTTGTCTAGTTAAAGAGGCGATGACTCTGTATTTAAATCGGTGATTCGAATTATCTTACAAGGTACCAAAACGCAAGCATGGTACATACATGTATATATAGATATTGCAGCTTAATACACGTTTATTATATTATGAACATTATTCTATATTGGTATCATATATTCTAAAGGTTTTTCTAATATGAATTTAATTTTGAATAACTGTGACAGCATAGATATTCACCGCGCTAAACGTCACATGCTTTTACATGTATAATTATAGTAACATGTTTGATGCACAATTGATTTTGGTAAAAAGTTGCTATCAAATACATTTTCTCTCGCGGAATATTCATAGAATAAAACAACTACTGTCTTTTAGTGAGGTACATTTGTGGGTTAATTGTTTTTTGTAAAACTTATATTGACGTCAGTCGTTGTTACATACACAACATTTGTTTAACATGATATGTCAATCGCCATGGATTTGAACGTTTTTGTGGTTTATTACTGCATTCGTTTTTCTATTGAGGATATTTAAAAACGGTATGTACGACTGAACAACATTATGGTGTTAATTGAATCACAAGGAATAACACGAAATTATTTTTTAACAATATAAATTAATTGATTATTTTAAGATTGAATTTAATTAATTGAATATTTTCCCAACACTTTAGGACATCGATGTTTTAATATTCACTGTAGTGGTATTATTTAAGTAGGTTTTCCTATATTAATTGAATTTTGATAAAGCAACATATTCAACTGTAGAAAATGATATTTAAAGCGCAATATGTCACGGGTATTTTTTACATGTTTAGACATTGTAAAATATTTTATGTACAATTGGTTTTGGTGAATAATTGTCAGTAATTGCATTTTTTGTTGTCTCTCGGAATATAAATATGGAATAAAATGTTTCTAGTTATGTTTTTGTTTGTGTCGGTAAATATATGGTTTTATTGACTGTTGGCCTCGGTGAATATCAAATTTCAAAAACCCATAAAACCATATATTAACGTCATCATAATATAGAAAGCATGCATATTTAGGACCAGTATTACATGTAATGATGATTAATGTTGGTGAAATACAAAATTGCAGAATAACACATTTTCCTATTACGTTTGACAAAAGATCAAATGTCGACGATTTACACACCTTATCAACCTTGACTGCCTGTTAAATATCTCCAATGACAAACTTTATGATTGAACATACATTCCGTTAAATTTAACTTAAGGTTATGTTACAAAACAAATATCCCAACCGACTAACCGTCGTTTTTCTGTGGCAGTCCAGCTTTATCTTGGTCGTTCGACTTAATTTGCAGACCTTACCTAATTATTGATAATTTGTTGTCGTCAAAAAATGTATTAAATAGTTTACACTGGACAACTAACAACCAAGGGATCATTATAGTATATATATATGTCTGATCAAATATGTGACACTGTGATAAAATAAATAATAATAATTATTATTATTATTATTATTATTATTATTATTATTATCATTATTATCATTATCATATATTAAATAATCAACACAATATAGTGCTGTCAAAAAGAAACTTTATGATATTTAAATCTTTGTTTTTTTATTCAAAATGTTTGGCAAAAAATCCTCTTTCCGAAGCATTTTTCTGTTTCCGTGCTCTTGACCCGTGTCGGTTAATTGTTTTTTATTTTGCATAAAGTTCAGTGAAAATCGATATATGTAACTATATATATATATAGTCTAAATTGAAAACAACGTTCAAACCTATGATTGCGTTAGATAAAAACCGCAATTTTTATACGTGTGCATGCAAAACAAATTTCTTGTTAGAGGGGTCTAAATACAGCACAAACAACATTTTCCAAAAGACCAAAAAAGTGAAAAAGTATATTTTAACAAAACGCATTTGACTAACAGGTCGAACAACAAATGTTCTTAAATCCTGCTCTGACTGCCATTGGCGATTGCCAAATAAACGGATCACAAGGTGTAATAAATGGATCTTAACTTTAAATTTAATACCAAACAGAAAACAATAAACTTGCGGCGAAGATGGTATACCGCAAACAAAGGTGCAAAGATTTTTTGTACACCATATCCGGATTTCGACAATTAATGTCTCTTCAGTGATGTTAGGAATCGAAACGGTTATTGGAAGGCCACATAATTTACCTACATTTGGGATAGACTCTTGAACTTTGAGGAGTATATATATATATAACTCGTCTAAACATCAGCCCAACAATGTTAGATCTGTAAAATTTGCTTTCTATAGAAGTGTATGAAAAGGACCAACCAGCAAATTTAATATGTACCGGATCGTCTAGAATAGACGATACTCCGCAGATAAGAAAACATTATATAAGTCTAAAGATATGCAAAACGGTATTAATATAAGATGGTTATATACGAAGATGCTGTATTTAGTCCCCTTTATTGTTTTCTGTTT